GGATCACTTCAGTGATGCCTCAATCAATATGAAGTCATCAATGGTGTTGGTACAGACCAATATAGACCAAAAGGGTTCCTCCAGACGTGCTAGATTTTTTTTTTTTTTTTTAAAAAAAAAAACATATTCAGTCATTCTGTTAAGAATTTCTAGCAAAAATCGCATGGTCTTTTTCAGCGAGAGTCAAAATGGTATGAAATTTATTCTCAAATATATCTTCTCACAAATTCATTCACTTGCATTTTATTGAGCGGTGCATAAGAATGCATAAAGATGCATTTGTGTTTAAAAAATCTGTTAGTTTTCATCCACCTACTCTAGCATGAGTCTCATGAGCTCAGTGAGTTTTCAGACCGAATTTATTACACAGCATCATTCGCCTTTTCAAATACCCGTGGCACCATTTCCTCAAATCACGTCAAGCGAAAAGTCGAATTAAAGTTTAGAGACACGTATGCTTACGATTGTTAATTTCCACGGTTGAATTTTCATTCTGTTCTCGCGTGATTAAATTTGGCAACGTACAGCCAAGAATCTGATAACCTCTAATTTTTTTTAACCACATCCTTCCTCAGTGACGAGAAAAAGAGCTTACTGACCCATCGGATCGTGTTTGGGGTAAGTAAGGTTGCGAAATAGGGTGCGAGTGCGGTTTTACAAGGGTCAAAGGGACGAGGACGAGGGGGAGGGGGGGAGGATATGGGTTAACGCATTTGCGTGTAGTACAAATGAGGCGAGGCCCAGCGATGATGATGTGGATCTGGCCGCGGAGTAGCACTACAGCAAAGCGGCGCACAGAGGGAAAAGTCTTTGAGGGAGGCCGGACATGCTTTTTTTTAAAACGATCGAAAATTTTGATGTTTATTTAGATAGTTTTTAAATTTATAGGATGTGTTGGAGAGTAAATTTTACAAGAAAACCAACAGAACTGCTTATTAACTTGTTTCTTTTGCACTGACGAAGATAAAAGCGTTTATGGTGTGGACATAATGTCCGACTTTTCCTATTGACCCATTGTGCGGCGGCGGTACTGCGAAGCAGGAGCAGGGTTGCGGAGGTACAGAGTCGTTGTACCAAGGAAAAACCACGCATATCCCATGGGGACTCCCTGTCAGATGTGCGGTTCTCGCCGGGTGCTCGCTCGAATGCTCGAGTCTGCGCAGCCTCCGAGGGTAGTGGGGGGGGGGAGGAGGGGGGATGCGTAGAGCGGCCGGAAAATGAAAATGCGTGAGGAATAACACCGCAGCGGACTCGCACTTGGCGGGCAAGATCAATATAAGGGTCATACGGCGACTGACGACCTGCAGCAAAGGCAGTGACGTCACATGGACCCATATCGACCGAGGAGCCGCGCGCCGCGCGAAACCAGCGTCGCGGCGCTGCCGGACCGACGCCGCTCCCCGGTCGGCGGCGGTTTCTCCACACAGGGGTAGCGCTCCTCTCCGATGAGAAGAGATTCGAAAGCGTTCCTGCTTTGAGGCACACGGGGTACTCGCATCTTTGATTCGCCTTCAATTTTTGAGGTAGATTAAAAAAGAACATCCTCCCTGCAACAATATGTCTTGTGCTGTGTGAAAATCGTGCCTCTCGGTAAAAAATTTTAGACTCTGAAAATAAAAAATGCGGACTCGATTTTTTTTCTTCGAGCCCCTCCAATTGATGAGAGGTACGCATGAGCTGAGTTTTTGTAATTTTAGCGTTTTTTTATGCACTAGAAAAAAAACACATGGGATCTAGAGTCCAGACTCTTAAAAACATCGACAAGAAAAAATACTCTTGATTCAATCAGACTCGAGCTTAAATCAAGAACTAAGCCTCTTAATTTGAGCGGATTTTCTTTTGATTTAAGCTAAAATCTGATTGAATCAAGAGTCTTTTTTCTTGTCAATGTTTTCAAGAGTCTGGACTCTAGATCCAATGTTTTTTTTTTTTTTTTTCCCCCAATGTAGGTGGTTATATTCAACAAAAATAAATGGTTTTGGCCGGTCGTCGAATCTCTTCAATGAGGCAAGTTGCTGAAAACGTGGGTCTAATACAGAAAACAGCCCATTCTCAAGATTTGATATTGTTTTGAGAAGATTACGAAAGGGCATCAGGCAGGAATTTAGGTGTGCTTTTTTGTAGCACAAGAAGTGCCATTAAGAGCAAAAATTACCCCGATATTCCTGTACGTTCTGATGGAAAATGACCATTTTAGGCTGTGGGATCTATTCGAGCGGCAGTGTATCTCTCTGAGAGAATTTTATGTCCGTCTGAAACCGTTCATTTTTGTTAAGTATAGAACTTCTTTTGTTGATAAACGCTGGATACATAGAAATCCAGAGTTGGACCAATTTTGGCTCTAAGCGACAACCCTAATTCGGCATTAATTTAATTCATATGTTGCATACTTCTTATCAATCACACCTACAATTATAGTTGAAGTTGAACATGATGTACTTTGAGGAGACATTTGCGCACAACACAAGATTCGAATCATTATATCAATAACTAACGCTGCACGGTGCTCTTTTTGCCTATATTGAAGATTGAAGGCGAAATAGTGACGGATTTAACCTGTTAATAGCCTCTGCGTTAATTCTGCCTCCACTAAATTTGCAGTCAGAGGTAGCAAGGAATTTTATGTCGTGCAATACTTAACTACAATATGTGTCTCCAGCTTGCTTGCGAAGTTACTTTGCATAATGATAATTATAAAAAAATCGGATAGTTAAGAGAATTGGCCGATGGGTCGATTCCCTGTATGTCTAGCTCTGTTGAATTGTATCATGTATTTCATGCAGTTTTGTTTCATCTCAGCTTTTTTGTATGCTTCCTGTTCTCTTACATGGTTCATTTTTCGCAAAACGACAGATGTGCTATCCGACTTGAAAGAAGTTAAAAATTTGGTCGACACAGTTGTATTTTGTTGTATTGTTTTTTGTTTATATTCTGAAACCTGTCGCAAAAAAGGGACTCGTATTGGCGAACTCGAATTGTCATCTGGCGTCTAAATTTTCAAAATTTGGGAAGCGGTGTAATACCACCAATCCCTGTGTGACTGTTCAAATGGAGAACGTCTAGTCGAAGGGAACGAAGTTTGCCCCGGAAATACACGGCCTGCTCATGAGTTGGTTAGAATAATTTTTCATGAAAAGCAATTTTGATTCCACGTGTTCTGGTTCTCTCTACCAATCGGATTCCAGCCCTCAGAAACTTAAATATCAAACAGAAAAGAGGTGATACTTATTACTTCTTAATGTTGCTGATACAAGCACACACAAAAAAGTAGAGGCCCTAATTTTCGGGAGGAATGTCTGCAATTCTGCATTAATTGTGGTTGAACCTGAATTATTGAAAATGAGCCAAAACAAATTGCAGCTCAGCTACAATGAGCTGCGGTCCAATCGCAACTCTAGTTGAGGTCCAGCCATAAATTAGGAACACCTAGCCATTTCACCTCATACATTGCTGATCTTAAAAAATAAGGGCCCCACACAATTCTTTAGGAGTCAATTTATAGACAAACCAAGTTCATACTTGATATAAGAAGCATGCTCATAAGTTGATCAGAAGAATTATTCATGAGAGTCGATGCTAGTTCCGCATCGCAAGTAGCCACAACTGATTTATTCCCCGCAAAAGAATGGTCTCTGCCTGGTTAAAAATTATAATACTCTTTCCCAATATTAGATTAATCGAGTTGAATGCGGCACAAATTAGTGGCAATTAAATTAATTTAGAGTCGATTAAAAGCAATTAGAATCGCGTCGACTCATTTAGAGCCGCATGCATCGAAATAGAATCAAATTTGACTTATTAGTAGGGTCAAAATAAATTCGATCTTATTTATTTTCAATATGAGAACAAAATATTGGTTTATTTAACAGAGTGGAGGTGAAAACAACACGAAAATGTTAGTTTATGGAAACATTGTCACCAAGACTGGGAATATGGTTTGGACCTGAAATTCACAATGACCACAGGAGGAGCAAGTTTTTCCCCTAATGAATACCCTGCCGTGATAGCGAAGAGAGCAAATTTTTGAAATCGAGTTTCCTACAAAATTCGTATAATCTCTTTTAGATGAAATCATTGAAATAGTTAAAAGAACACAATTCATATTAATTGTATAATAACGAAACTTATGAGGAAGCCGTAAGTTTGCAGAAAATGACGTAATTTTCAGCAAGGCAGCGGTAAGTGGCAATAATCATCCAGAGAGCCAATGAAAACAATGCTTTCAAGTAAAGTGCCGCCCTCTTCTACCAATTTCTAATTGAAAATGTGTTTGTTGTGTGTCCAAAACGCAACCAGAAAAGCATACAGAAGATAGCACTTACGGCTGTCTTGCTTAACATTAGCCTAGCATAAAAATGAAAAAACCCATTTTTTGCAATTGACGTAAAATCGGGCGATTTTTAATCATCCGAACGGTTTCTAGGAGTCTTTCGAACGATTAGTGGCAATTTGACAAAGAACGGAGGCTTCTTTCAATAAAATTTTCCGGTATAAAAGAATTCCGGTCAGGAATTTTTCCGGTTATTGTAGAAGAATATATTTTAGGGTGCCTGATGAAAGGGTTACTATGATATAATAAATTATGTAATTCAGAGATTACTTCCACACTGAGAAAAAAAACACATTGGATCTAGAGTCCAGACTCTTAAAAACATCGACAAGAAAAAATACTCTTGATTTTATCAGATTTAAGCTTAAATCAAGAACCGAGCCTCTTAATTTGAGCGGATTTCCTTTTGATTTAAGCTAAAATCTGATTGAATCAAGAGTCCTTTTTCTTGTCAATGTTTTCAAGAGTCTGAACTCTAGATCCAATATGTTTTTTTTTTTTTCTAGTGTAAGATATGTAAGCTAACATAAGCTGTTGGATTCATATTTCAATCATAGATCGTTTGCCTTTGAGCCCGTTTTCTGAAAACTTTATTTTTGCGCTTACTGCTCTTCGCTATCACGGCAGAGGAGGGTAGAAATTCGGGGCGAGCCGGCAACGCGGCAGGTCCGGAGTCTGAGCCCGAAAGCTCAGCGCTGCGACTGCACAGACCACATGGTACTGTTACGAAGCGCACCACTCACCGGAAAAGCTTCCCTCGGAAAAGCCTGCCAGCATCCCCGCACGCCAGTTGCTTCAAAACACTCGGAGAAATCCCCATCAGTTCGCACCTGATCCTGATCGCATCCGTCACCTCGGCTTCGGGCATTCCACAAAGTGTCCCCCGCGTTTCGACGACTGTGCGACCGACCGCCCTCTTTAAAAAACAATTTCCGATCGGCCCCCTTTCGTGAGTTTTGTGCTGTCCCCGCAGCAGTCGCCGACCTGGGCCTAAATAAGATTCCGCGGATCGTAGCCCTAATTGGGAGTTAGGCGCCTCAGTTACCGTCCCTACCTGTTACGTGCTCGGAGTTCATTTTAATTCCATTTCCAAGTTGTTTTAAACGCTCGTCCGATAAGTGATTCTCTAACCGATTCTAAGTAATCTCATCGTGATTTTCTCTCTCCGGTGAGTAAGCTTCTCAATTTGTGTCTTATCCCTTCCATCGCTTGACGCAGGAATGTGTAGGTTTTCTTGATTGAATTCTCAATATGGTTGTTTTCAAAGAGGTTAGCGGCTCAGATGATGAGGCCTGGCCTCATTATTTTGAGCGCGGCTATCTTCAAGAAATAGAGCGCTAGAATTTAGTTTGTTGGCATTTTATCTGGAGCGTCGATTTATATTAATGCACACTTTGTTCCTTTCTCTGAATTTATTTTAATACATCAATAATCTCTAATGGAGCTGACTATTAATTCAGCTCTCTTCTATCATTACGAGCACTTGATGTTATCAGCATAGTGGAAAGTCTAGTAAGGAGAAATTTCTATGCCATAAAACATTCAATTTAAAATATAATTTACGAAGCAAAGTTAACATTTTTTTGTTATTATCAAAAAGAGATAATTATTCTAATTGCCTCAGTGTAGGCCATTAAAATTCTATCAATAATTACATTTCAGTCGAGAAGTAGGCTACTATTTTTCTTCAGATTTTCCCCAACCATTTTGTGACTAAAAAGCTTATATAGAAAGAAAACAAATCCAGGACGTATCGCGCAAATTACACGCTCATTCTCAACTGGAATAAAAGCTCTAAATAAAAAATTCAAACAAGTAGTTGTGCACAGAACTGTTGCATTACCTCTTAAGATTAGTCATTCCATTGATCTTGTGCTCCAAACGTAACGCGGCACATCAATCTCGATATCGAAGCTTGACAGTTTTAAAAACGCCTTCAATTCTGGCGTGATACCTTACGCTTTCCGGAGAGTACGAATAGTTGTATCACTGCGCCTTACCAATGTGACAGAGGAGGTTGCCTCTAGCCTCTAAGCTGGCCTCGTCTTGGCAGTTTCCTTTTGACATATTTGCAGGTGTGACCGCGTAGTTAAAATAGGTGCTCAAGCTAGGATTCTACTTGGTAAACGAGTAATTTTTATGGGAGGACTGAAAAGAAATAAGAGATGAAAAATAAAACGAGGTATTAGGAACTCACATCAACAATAAGACCCAAGGAAGTTACAGTAAAACATGGATAGCTTTTCTCCAATATTACTAGATTCTTACTGAATACAACCAGTTTAGGCTTCACTGGCAAGTCTTTTCCCTTTCCAAAACTTTCCATTTACGTACCTTTTGAGTGATGAATAACTAAATGAATTCGGCGATAATGGCCTACAAAAACTAGCTTGGCATTTTAGGTTATAAAATAAATGTTTAAAGGTCTGAGAGAAATTGACATAAATGTCAACTTCCTCCGGCAAAAATATTTAACTTACTAAAGGTTTATAGGAGCACAGCTTCATGATGTTTGACCGATATATCCATGGACAGGTTAGGTTTTTTCAGTAATTTGTTGAGGCATAGAAAGGAAAAACTCCTGTTCAAGTAATAATAGCTTGAAACACCCTGAACCTTTTCAATTTATGAATCTTGCACATGGCGCGAGTGAAAACTGATAACTATCCCCTCATGGTAAATTCAATCTCCACATTTTACATGCATGTAGCTTTTGCTAATTTCTGCGCATCTATTTGTTGTGTTCATCAGAATCAGTCGAGCTTCTTTCTATGAATATATTTGGCACTTTGATAAATAAGACCACTGTCCAGCCTTCAAATGGTACCAAATTTTCTTTGATGAAATACAGCTTATCTATGAATCTCCTGAGTATATTCTTCTTTCGATTTTGCGAGGAATTGTTTTCCAAATTTGAGCTGAGGCGTCTGAAATCCTCAGGGAAAATGTTCATGACGTTCTTGTTCTTACTCGATGAGCCTTTTTAGTCTTTAAGAGTCTATCTATGTATTCTAGGTAAGGCTCGTTCTGCCTTGCTATGGAAAAACGCCGTATGAACATTTGAGAGTTGCCAAATTTTCCCGGATAAAATATGTATATTTAAAGAGAGACATGCATGTTTTTCCTTGATATTTTCAGATACTTTAGATTAAATTACGAACGAAATTGTCTGAAAAATTGGGAGGTAAATATTTAAAACTTTCTCAATAAATTCGTATTTTTATTTTTTTTATTTTTAATTTTTTTTTTTTTAGCACGGCAGAGTAAATGTGTAATGTTGTGTGCAGGCAGGCTACAGGTCAGAGAAAATGTAATCTTTGAGTCGTACAAAGACCGACATTGATCATTTTTAAACTTAAATCTTTGTTCAGTTACTTACTGCGAGTATTTTAACACAAAATTAGTTCATGTTGTTTAAGAGGATTTTTCGAGCAAATTCATGTCTATCACTTGGCAACAGTGAAAAAGATCCAGATAGCCAAGTAACACTGTATTCCGGTCAATTTCCCGCGCCTTTTCGGTATGAGCTAATCAAATATTGCGATTTCAAGGCAAACAAATTTCCTCGTTTAGAACGCCTCTAATTTTGAGTAATCAACGTTTGTCCTTTAGCTGGACCGGACGAAAGTGCAAAACTGATTGCGCGAAACTATTCGTGCTCTCAAGCCACTCATGTTGCCAGCACGGTTATTGAAGGCGATCAACCACCGTTGGTTCTGAGCATATCTTTGAGATAAGCTTATCCTTTCAGTTTTTTTAAAAGGTTGGATGGTTCTTTTGCTTGACAACAAAGTTGCCTAGAAATTGAGTTTTTTCACGATTCTTCGAATGCTTTTTTTTTTGGCTTGTACATTTTTAAAATCAAACTAATTCCAAATTTTGCGACTGTGGAGGCTATCGAAGTACCTACAATAATATTAGTAAGATAGTGTATTCTGTGTTTTTCTGAGCCGCATTTCATCGAATTTAAAGCTTTTGGTGACCTACAAATTTTATTTTGTCCTGGCAATCATGCCATGTCCAGAATTTCTTATCCTTTGATGCGATTGAAGTAATATTAAATTCATGGACCACCAGTTGCGTCAAACAATAGCATAATAAAAAGCCGTAAACGTTTTCCGGCGGTATATGATTGATATCTGCCTTTAAAGTGTTTATCGTTGCTCGAGAATAATTAACAGTAAGTACATTTATTCGTATCATGCAACCCTCATATAGGAGGCGGTTGAAAAGGAATGAAGTGGTAACATTATCCCTGAGCCACTACTTAGTCACACGACAAACTCGAATTAAAGTATTTCAGATTTTTCATGGCTGCAATCGATTTTGAGATAGTATTTGCAGCTTTACTCTCTGAATGATCTTTGCATTATGCACAATTTTTTGGGGTCATTTTTCTCATTCTGAACGAGCAGTCTCTGTCATATAATTTTAACTTATAAACATTACATGACATATCGACGGCAAGACTACGAAAACATGAATTCAATCACGGTAGTAGTTGAAAAATATGTAAAGCTAAGTTCAGAATTACCGAAGTGATAACTGCCGCAACAAAGGAATAAAGTGTACACTTGTTGCAACAAAGGAGTAAAGTCGAATTTTTCTTTTTAGGTAAAAAAAATTATATGTATAAACAGAGTGATTATTTCCATATATATGGAAGCTTACTAAAAACTAATAAAAGAAAAAGGTAAAAAAAAACCTCCAAGCTACCGATGATTACTTTGATCAAGCAAACCAAGTAAACAATTAACATTTTATGAAAAGTGTTGGTTCCCCGATTTTAATATGAATGTAAAGTTTTTCATGTCTATAAGGATAAAAAGTAGGTAGGTCTCTGAAACGTTGTTCACTTGATTGTTTCAAAATGCCTCATGACACTCAAATTGCGGGGCTTTGAGGACAAGGCGCATTCCAATTGCACCCAATTCCACTCAAATTCCATTTTTAAGCATAAAAAAATCAGTTTGAACTTTCTCTCTGCCACGAGGGTCCATGTAATTTCGAAACTTCAAAATGTATTTCTCGGAGTAGCAAAAACTGCACTTATGCGCATTGTCCTCCAGGCCCCTCAATCAGACTTAAGATAGGCCTCATTTGAATCAGTGAGTACGAAAACACACCAACTCGAAAAAATGAAAATAATCGAGACACACACAAAACCGCATAGTAGGTGAAGAAGTTAGTCTAAGAACAAGATCTTTGGTGCCTAAAAGCAAGTACTTAAGGACACTTTAAATGTCCAAGTTGGAACAGATACGGTAACTTCAATGACCTTTATGAAAATTGTCTGTCCTTAGTGAAGAGTGAGTATTTTCAAGTTACCGAGTTGGTGTGTTTTCGTTCTCGCTGATTCATTTACGACAGAAAAAACAAATTAATCGGCCCGAAACATTAACAGAGAAACAACTTAAAACGGGACAACAAATAATAAAAAGAAACACATAAAATAAAATAAGAAACCCGGGACGTTTCGCAGGGATCACACCCGCATTTTCAACCGGCAAAACAAGAAAAATTAAAAGAAAAGACACTATGAGCCTCACCGTTATCTCACAATAACAGTCTCACAATAGCCGAAGTCTCACAATAACAATGGTGAGGCTCATAGTGTCTTTTCTTTTAATTTTTCTTGTTTTGCCGGTTGAAAATGCGGATGTGATCCCTGCGAAACGTCCCGAGTTTCTTATTTTATTTTATGTGTTTCTTTTTATTATTTGCGGCCTTAGTCCCGTTTTAAGTTGTTTTTCATTTACGACTTAAGTTAGGCCTCACTTACGACTTAGGTTAGTGAACTTGGTTACAATGAACCCATCGACTTACACAAATTGAAAATGATAAAAATGACCTAATCACTGAAACCTCTATGAGGACTAATGAGTTGGGCAACACAAAAGGAACGAAGTCATCAGAGTAAATGGTGAGGTGCGGTGGCCAAGGCGCCTCCCGCCAAGATGGGGTTTTCGTTGCAGTGTTTACAAACGCGGCGAGCGGAGATGTATGGCTTTGAAGAGGCTCCTCTATCATAATCGAGGCACTAGACAGAGTTCAAGCTCTTATCCTTGCGTCCTCCCACCCTCCCCCCCCCCCCCCGCCGAAATGGTCGATAAACCCCTCGTTTGGCGGGTGTAAGTGCTTCGGCTCAGTGGCGTGGCGTACCTTGCG